TTCGGTAAAACCAGAGTCGAACGTGCGGAAAACCTATAGAATCTTTTTGCCGGAGCGCCGCTCGTTAAGCTCTCTTGAAAACGAATAAAAATTACGCCCGCGAATCTCTAAATTCCTTCTACTGGCAAAAAGCAAAACCGCGCTGGGGCGATCTTTTTTACGCTCTCTCCGGCGCATCTACATCATCACTACTAAAGTATTATCTGACGTCGCGTATAATTTCATGACAAACGGCTTCGACGGCATCAATGGAAGATACGAAGAATAAGAAATGTTGCTCTGCGACTAAAAATCTTTGTGGCATGCTCGGAGTCTCGAATGTTAGACCACAGGAAAATTCTCCAATTATAAATATTTCGGCGAGATACAATTCCTGTACCTCCCCTCTTTCCCCTATCTCTAGGAGTGACACGCGGAAGGGCGCGAGGGTGTCGGTTCGGTCAGTTGGGACGCGAAAGGGGGAAGAGGAGAGCGTTGGGTTGGACGTGGACGTGGAAGAGGGCGGTTTTGAAAGGGTATGGGTCCGGCATAGAGACAATAGTAGGCGGACAAAAGCATGATATACGGCGACCTCGGAGAGCAGTGGTATTAAAATCATATTTTTAAGCTCTCTCTCTCTCTCTCTCTTCCCATCCCTATCGCGAGAGAGCCGCACTACCCTTATCCGGTGGGCCCGCCCGTCTCTTTTACCGCCGACCGACCCCTATTCCGCACAATCCCATGCCATGGACCGCGAAATGGAGCGCGCAGGACGAGCGCTGTCTTTGCGGAGCACGCGGCACCGCCGGATTTAATTGGATTCGTCGGCTGTAATTAATGCGCCCGAACATCGGCTAAGACGGATTGTATCGATTTATTTTCAATATCATCTTTTCGCGATATAACGAGATTTTCCAGTTATTCCGCGGAAAAATCTATTTGTTAGTCGGTGCATTTTATTGACTCCTCTCTTTTATGTTCTAATAATATAATATAATAATATAATTAATAATAATATTTATAATAATAATTAAATTTTGTTTAACATATTTTATAACGTTGATCTTACATCGATCTATAAATTATACAACGCGAGTCCTCGGGCTCACGATAAGGGGGATTATTGCTAATAATATCCAGTTTGCGTTTGTGCACATGATGTTTTCATAAATCTGCATTCGTTGCGTCGAGCAGTTATGAAAAAAATAATCCGACGCTCTCTTGGAGCGCTTACGCCCGTATGCGGCCCTGGCCGCGCAGCGTCCCGGATGCAGCACTTCATTAAAACTTTTAAATTTTCCTCCATTCTCATCGCGCGTTCTCACGAGTGTGTATAAAGTAACTCGCGAAAAACCGGGAGAGTTTTGCGCCCGCGCCGCGCATGAATTTGTTGCCTTGGTCCCTTGAACATCGTTACGTCAGAGTCGCTACAGCCTCCTACATACCTTTCCCATGTAAGTATTCTCTCGCGCTATATCCCGCATACTTTCTTTCACGTATAACATACGTAAACTGTGCAACTGTATACCTTGTTATAAACTACAACGGGCTGCGCGATAATCCGTATCAGGTGGATGCAAAAATGTGTGACGGCGGATTGAATTTTCATTTTACCTTATCATTAATCGTTTCTCGGGAAACGAGATTTTGTATTCTCGATTCTCTCTTATTGTATATTATATTTTATATGATATTACATTAAAAGTAAAGATGCACAAATATCTCCTCAAAAGATTAATCATTCTTCTTACTGAGACTGACTGCGCGCGCGGGATCACGTCTCTACATAGCGACTGGTCTGTATTTAGGAAGAGGGTCAGTATTATTTCACTTATGTTAATCTCCCGAGGATCCAAGAGCCGCCGACGACGTTATTAGGCCCCCGACAGGGGTCGGAGGTCTAATCGACCTAGGAATAATGTCGCGTTTGCCGGTAACTCTGCCTTGACAGAGAGAGAGAGAGAGAGAGAGAGAGAGAGAGGAGAGGGTAAGAGTGAAGGGTCGCTCCGAGAGATATTCTAATCCGTCCCTGGGAGAGAACTCCGCTTTGCGGAATCCGGCTGAGAAGAGGAAGCGTATGCGACCTCTTCGTCAGCCTCCGTGTTCGTAGAATAAACGCGCGAGGATAAACGATAGATCGGAGAGGGGAAGGGGATGAAAGGGGGAGGAAAACGATAATTCGACTTGCTCAGAGTCGGTGGCTGAGCTCCGAGTACCGGAGACTTGAGTCGTTCGGTGAGCGATTATACGGGGGAGAGGGTGAGTGCCGTTCCACCTTCTTGATATCGAGGCGACTACCGAAATTTCGTCCTAATCTCGATTTACGGCACCCCGGCAAATCATGCATCGTGCCCCCGGCGTTTCTCCCGTTCCCGCGCACGATTCGTGTTATTAGAGCCGGCTATGAAAAGCCGCTGTATTTCCAAACTATCGGACGTGGGCGTTGATTGCGCTTACGCTCTTATTCGTCATAAAATTTTGTTAACGTGCCGTAAAAATACTTTCTGGATGGAACACTTTTGGAAGGAACGTACGAATCGCGTTTAGAGTCGTTTATCACGACTCGTGTAGGCAAGAAGCGGAAGATAAATGTGAGCATGAATAATATTGATATACGTATCCGTGTCTCAAACATAAGGTCGAACGATGGATGAGAATTACTTCATATCGAAAAGATTAAAATAAAAAATTTAAGCTTGAAATGAGATCCCCTAGAAGGGGAGTACCATTGCTCGCGACTATAAAGAGCAGCAGCGTCGATGTTCGCACCAAAATCGTTGAATTATACGTCTGTGTGAACGTGCTTAACAACTGTCTGCCAATGGCGCATAGGACCTGCGAACTTATCAATTTATCGTGTATTCCTTCGGAGGTTTCTGGCGAGGAGATTGCTTGGAATGTCGCCAGGCGAGCGGCCGTTCGTCCAGCCGGAAAGAGAGACTTGCGAGGTGCGCCTGGGAGCCTTTGTGAGAGAAAGAGTGATGAAAAAGAATGCACGGATAGTGGACTTGAGGCGGAGGGGACGGAGTTGCTGGACCGAGAGGATGGACAGAAAGGACGACGAGGTGGAGGAAGCGAGCGAGGGAGGCAGGAAGGAAGGAAGGAAGGAAGGAAGGAAGGAAGGAAGGAAGGAAGGAGGGAAGGACGGGAGGCGAAGCCTGGAGCGAGGCGAAGAGACCACGAAATATCTGTCAATCGCAAGAGAGCAAGGAGGACCTGCGCCGGCAAAGTCGATTTAACGCCCGTTAAGGAAGCAATTCCTTTAAGAAAGACGAGCGCCGGCAGGGACAACGTAACCCCCCGAGGAGATCCTTGACCCTTGCCAAAGGACTTATGACCTTTCCGCGAGGGAATCGCTTCCGTTCGCCATTATCGGCAGACGAATAGAACATCAATAACCAATTCCGTAAGACTAATATCGCGAAAATTAGTTTTCCGAAAGTCCTCTCGCTTCCTTACGCTCGTTCTTCGTCCCATTTCATCGCTTGTAGAAGCTTCGTTAAAGGATCGTGGATCCGCTTCATAACGACGTTCATGGTTTTCTTAATGTCCATCTGCAGGAGGCGAGCGATCGTGAATCTTTTTTTATCGTCGCGCGATAGCCGTTATTTTCTCTCTCGCGTTCTTTCTTTCATTTTCTTTCTTACGTTGCGTCGAAGCGAGCTGGCAAGTCTCGATCGATGATTCGGCATTTTTAAGATTCGAATTATTAAACTTTTCGATGAAAATACAATATCACTATTTTCAACGGAATTTTTCTGATCTCGCACTATTTTCGTTTAATTTTCAGAGCACGACATACAAAATCTGTATTTTGTGGAAATTTTATTAACTGTCTGCAATTAAGACTCATAATTAGTTGCACGATCACGCGACGAGGACATTCACGTTTCAAAAGATTTATTCGAGGACATGTCGCAACGCTGACCCGTCGTACGATCGCGTCAGATGCAAATCTCGCGAGTCTTTCAAATGACGTTGATGAATAAGGTGAGGTCGCTCACTTTGTATGCTGTAACGAAATAGAGAGAAAGAGAGAGAGATAGGAGTGGCATAAAGACCTCGTCGGAAACTGAGTTTCATCAAGCACTGGCCTCCTTCTCTCGCGCAATAAAGGGCGACACGCCCGAAGGAGGCCCGAAACAGAATTTTGCCTACCAAAGTTGATGGAGTATTCGCGATACATTATTCTGCCGGGTCCTTTGTGTGCGCGTCGTGCCGTATCTGTTACGTTGTTCTCGCGCCTTTTTCATCTTTTCTTTGTCACCTCCGCCGGGATCATACACACACACACACACACACACACACACACACACGCACACACACACACACACACACACACACACACATACTGCTCGGTAAAAAATCGACGACGGGCATCCCTCGACTGTACATTTAAGTTGTGTCAAAAACTTGGCGTCAATATATGTTGTGTATTTATTATAGCATATATGAATATATATTGTCGTGTATAAATATATATAAGTGATGTATTGTATAATTATTATATATAGAATGTCGATGTATTGAGCGAGTGGTGTACATCATACAAACAAAAGCTAATCGATCTTAATAAACGTCATTCTTCTATATGTCATCGCGTCAGGGATAAATTTGCAGTATAATAGATAGTTGTCAAAACTTTGTAAATATTTTTACTGAAAAAATGGAAAAATGAAACTCCAAGAGTTTTAATCACTCTGAAACGTCAAAATTTTATTGTGGTTTCTCGCATAAGTTTAGTTTTTGTCAAACATATCCTAAAGCGCGTATATATTATTTTATGAGAAGGTGTATTTATGTGCATATAAATTTTGTAAATTCATCAAACATTGAAACGAGAGAGAAACAAGCAAGTTTATCACTCTTAATATTTGATTATGTCAAAGATCTTGATACATAATTTTTCTTTCCATTTTTAACCTAGTATTACTATAATTCTTTATTGGCAAAGGCTCGCCCGTCGAGAAAAACGAGGAAAAATTTGCAATTTGTGTTATTCATAGCGTTACGGAAACGATATGAAGAGAGGAACCAAGTGTATCGCGCAAACCATTAATCTGTCCAATCCGAAAACATGCGTGAAGCCGAAGGTTCAGAAACTCGTCAGTGCAGATGCGGATTCTTGCTCCGATTCTAATCAAACGACCGATTACTGGACCGCTAGACCGGTAGCAGTTAAAGTTTGCTCGCGGAAAGATATGCAAGGAAAATGCCCACCAAAGGTATATCAGACATGATGATAAAAATTTTTAAAGATTTAATCAATTTTAAGATGACATAAAAATTATTAATGTAAGAAGAGTATCTTATATTCGCATAAAATAAAAATATTTGTATAAATATTTTTTTAAGTCACGAACATGAAATAAATCGAAATTTCGTTTTTATTTTCAATCTCAATTTTTTTATGTTTATGGATTTTAGAGAATTTTGATAAGTTTAATTTATATAAAGGTATTGAGCTTTTACTACAGTTTAAATAGACAGTAAATTGAACAGTTTTTCACTTTCAAAAATTTAAAAAAGATCCTTTCGAAACTATAGATTAAATAATTTTAAAAAAAGATGATCTTGAAATATCAAAGTAGGTGTTAGGTTGAAAATTGAGATTGAAAATAGGAACAAAACCGACTCGAGAAACGAAGAGCTATCGGCATTAATATCATTTTGAATCATTCTCTTTCTCTTTCTCTGTCGTTTTTAAAGATAAAAATATTCAAATAATAATATTTATGATTTTTTTGGCCTATAGTGGCTACATGTGCACGTATACTCTGTGCGAATTGCATCCAATTTCGAGTTAAATCATGTGGCTTGTCGAGCCTTGCGCGATATTGACACGCTGTGTAACGAGATGATGGTGTTCGAGCACCTGTACGGAATTGGTTAGTCGATACGTAGTTGCGTTTACCTGGAATTAGCCCGACAGTCGGTGTACACTGCTACAGCGACTATCGATGGGTCTCTAATAGAGGAGGACGGTCTCCGGGCTCTCTCGTAACTGTTAGGGACATCATCTAGGTCTTGGAACAGGGAAAGATAGAG